AAAAAAAAATACATGTATAGGTATCAAGGGTATTTTTCGATGACTAGTAATACGAACCAAATAAGCTTTTACAAATAAGTAAAAATAGATGAATCAATCCATTGTATACTATAGACAATTTAATTCAAATTTGAAGAATTGTATTTATGTACTTTATCAATTGCTATTTGAGTCACTTAATATTGATTACATAATAAATAAATATAAATATGTTACTTTAACAAGAAATGTAAGAATATCAATTCAAAGATAAATATGAGATTTCTTGTATTGTTTTCAGTATAATTGATAAAAAGTTTACGGAGTCAAATCGAAATCGAAGGTATAAATACTTCTGATAAAGTTTCGTGTTTTTATGAAACAATAAGTTTATTCTTCGTAGTAATAAAAAAGGCACCAGTTTCTATATAGATTAAGAATAACTTTCAAGATAAAAAAAATGAATGATTTTCTCGTTATAGCATTCCTAAGCGCAACTATACTAGTCTAAAAATATTTCAATGTGATCTGAATTACTGTAATTATCTTTATCATTAGTTCCTGATTGTCTGGACATAGCGCATGTTGATGAAAATGTTCTCACATTTGACTAAAATTTACGCTTTTTTTTCTTTTATACAAATCTAACAGATTTATGACTATCATCTACTGGTTTTTGAAGTTCTTTTCTTGTCCAAAGCTTCTTGGTCATTATTATTTTCTACCTTCGCACGACAATGAAAAAAATTCGAAACTAATAGTAACATGATGACTCTTTAATTTTTATTCATTTGTTCGTTTCTTTATCCATTTACGCGTCGTTATATTTCAGCACTAAAATATATGAGAGGTCGCTGTTTCTCATTAACAAAATTTGGGAGTTTATCGGAGTCGAAGTTAAAAAAGTTGACTCCGCAAGTCCCTATAAGAAAATCAACTTAATTTCAAACAGCATGTTTATTTACATAATCTATTCAGCATGAATTTTCTTTCTTTAGGTTATAACATTATTAAAAATAATTGTGTTTACATAGGAAAAGGAACTTTTTTCTTTCTAGTGGAAAATTCATAACGACTAAAGGTAGTTGATTTATCTTATTTCTAGCAGCATATTTACTGTTCTCTAAATATACGGAAATGCCGTTAACATTGATTGTCGCATGCATTGTAAATCGTTATATTGAAAGAAACAA